CAATATTGCCAATATTGTTGTGGTTTGCGATATAAATTGCCTCGCGAATCGAAGACTTTCAGATATGTCATATAGCGTCGAATAGATTTGTGCGTTGTTTGTACTTCAATTTTGGCCACGAGGCACAAATTAGGGAGACTTAAAGAACACGAGTGACGAGTGTTAACACAATTTAACTACGTACAGTGTTGACAAAATTAAAAAATACCGGGCTAACGTCAGTAACGAACCACTGAAGCCAGTTGTCGATCAGAATTAGCTTTCCAATAACGGCAACCGCTACCAAACACGCGAGAAAGTCTCGAATTTCGATTTGTATTTATATGAACTGTGGTCATTGTATAAGAACGAGTGTATGAGAACCCCTCCATTTGATAATATTTACTGTAAATAGAACTAAATACATTGTAAACACAACGCTCGCTCCGATCTACTACGAATGGCGGCTATTTTTAGATATTTCGTATTTTTGTAGTGCGTTGCGTGCGTTACGTACGGTGCACCTGTGGAAGTGCACACTTGCGTCGCCTAAGAAAAAAGATTGGCCATTTTAATACTCCGGTACTTACAGTACCCGGAGTAATAATTTATTCATTTTATTAAATGCAACGGAAATTCGACGTATGCATTTTCCAAATGATGTTGGTAGTTTTTCTTATGAGCAGCACCGATGTACTTGAATGGTACAGTGTGGGTGATTTATTCCTCCTCATCACTTAACTCGTCATCACTTTCTACCCTATCACCTTGATCACCTCTTTCATTATCATATCAATCATGTCCTCATGAACAGGCTCAGAACCAGCCAACCACTCAAGTAAATCTCTTTCTACAAAATCATAACAAGAAAATATTACTTCATACACCATCGTCTCTTAAATTAGCAATCTTATGCAAAAGCACATGCATGTAACCTCCTCTAAATTCTCAATGCCTAACTGTGTATTAGAACAACACACAAAATTAATTGTTCCGGAAAAAAAATTTTCGGCACTGGCCGGGCACAATCCGAAAAAGTCGGGCAAATTTCTTTCCGCCCCCCTAATTTTTTCCTTCCGGTACGCCCATGAGCAAACACATCAGGAATGGAGTCAAACTAAAGGGCTAAATTATTAGAAATATTACGCCATATTTTGTACAGTGTAATATAAAATTACAGTACAATATTGAAAACAGCAAAGCGGAAATTTGACCAAATAACAAGTTATAATAAGTCAACTGTGATGCATTGTAGTATACCAACCTTAAATAATGCGCTTGTTTTCACACTGATGGTACACGGAGATCACGGTCATCCAATTTAGGAATGAGAGCCTCGCTATTGGGAATATAAACACATTTCCTTCGCTCGGACGGATTATTTATCAATCTACTAGAAATACATGCATGCAACAACCCCTCGCCTATATTTTCCAAACATTGTTTCAACATGAAGTATTCGTAATTACGCCAACACTGAACGCAGGCTCGCGTTACCACGTCATGTTAGTCATGGCAACACGAAATTGTTTTTTAATCTTTTGTACAAACCGGAAAAATAGATGAAATTTGAACACTTTTAAATACAGAACTATCAATTTCTAAAATATATAAAACTAGGTATAATATTTTGTTTTTTATGGGCTTTATTTTAATGTAAAATACAAAACGAAACTCAACGTAAAACGTTTTTAAATGTGAATTGAAATTAACTGCTTCTTGCCGATATTTATAAACTTCTCAACTCGAGCTTCAACTTATTACTCGAAATGAAACAAATTAAATTCGTACAGGACGCTAACGAAAATAATTTGCTTTCCTTTTTATCATGAACTTCTACAAAAGTTAATTTAACTAAGAAACTTTCGCAAACATAATGCATGGGAAAGACTTAAACATCAAGAACAAAGTACGTATTAATAAATACAAAGTCATACATAAACAATTGAAACAAACTTGCCCTATTCCTTTGAATTTATCATACAATATCAATTCTTATCAATGTTTACGTTTACAAATTGCAAAAAAGTTGTACAATTTGTTATGTGAAACGATTTTCCAAGCTTTCTTACATGTATTGTTTATTTGTTTTTAGTTTTTTGCCTTCTTCACTCCTGGCAAACAGCCATATTTTGAGATCAGTGATGACCACCCACTCAACACCGTTGGTGAGCGCCCGCGATAATTGATGAACTTTAGACTTCGCTAATGTTTTCGTTTCCCCGGGTGTAAATAGCCGGGGGGAACAGGGTGGACTTCCGTCTACGCATGCGCGAGAAACGTAAGCGTGGAGTGCACGTGAGCGCGGGTTAATCGCGTGACTGAATTATAAAAACAAACATCAAATTTGCAAAAACTACTCGTGTTATGAAGTCGTTTTCTTGTTTCTTTAGTGTTTCTACGCTCACAATTTTATGCATTTCCAACTTAGAAGTATTTGCTTTGGAATAAGAACGTGAAAGTAGAAATAAAAACTTTGTTGCAGCAGTTTAATTTCGCAGTGCAAATATATCTTTTTTTAATATGTATATCCTTTTTGAAGTGAGATATACAAGTGCAAATTGACCTTCTTTAAATCCGTACTTGCCCTACAGTTTTTCACTCCATAAAAACTACTTTTATCGATGGATAAACTATTTGACTCTAAAAATAAGCTTGAATTTTTGTGGTGATATAGGCTCATTCTTTGCAAACAGTGATTTAATACTCGGTAGTGTAGTTGTTGTTTATGAACAAAAGACTAAAATGAATTCAACATCCGTCAACAAGAAGGAGTCGCGCTTATTACTACTCTGTAGAGGATAGACAATTAATTTAACTCACTAGGAACCCGTTCTACAATATCAACTAGAAATCGGCCAACAAATTGCCACGAAATACTACAATGTAAATATGTCTCTGAAATACCAATTCACCAAACGGTCAAGTTTCTCTGCAAAGATCGCCCCTTTGCCCAATTTTCCTCGAGTAGATCATCGTGTTTTTAAGTCAAGGATTATGTATACTTTAACATAAAAGAATAAAAAAGTGGTGATAAAGGGTAGATTTTGAATAAAATACGAATATCTGTATACAAGATCTGACCGTTATTATGAAGCACTCGATACTTTTTCCAACAACATATTGCGATTAATTTTTTACAAAATTAAAACTATTCACACATTGAAGATATGAAAATGTAGCTTGCATTACAAAGAAATGTTGGCTTACCTAAGTTATACCTTACGCGTCGATTAAAGTCAATTAAAGCCCTTTCAAAGACGCGTGTCACATTAAACTGCAGGTCACATGGCGGTAGAGAACTCGACGAAGTATTCAGGATATTTCATAGACAGTTTAAACCCTGCTGTGCACTATATTCCTGTGAATTATGATGCCCAACACACCGGGTAACAAAATTTACCACTTTGTTCGGCTGTTCCAAGTACACTTTTAAGATACAAGGTCCGATTATATCATGTTCTTCGAAGCATCTGCTTAAAACAGTCCAACATAAATGTCGCCACTCATCTTCTTCGTATGAAAATATAAGTTTTCCTTTCAATTGCTTTGCTTTAAAAACAGTCATTAGGTTGTTGAAGAGTTATATAGCCTGCAAGTTCCAACGAAAAAAAACCCAATGCTTTCAAAAACCAGTGAATCACAATGCTGTAAACTTCAACATCCTTCGAAATTGTAAGCAAAACATCGAAAAGCAAAATTTGCGGGGAAAAGCTCACGAGCCCGCACTATTTTCATGCAGCGTCGACGAAAGTCCACCCTGTTGCCGGGGGGAATTAGTACCCTGGCATGGCGCTTCGCGCCGTCGGCTCGGGGATGACTCGCATTTTGTAACCATGTTTCAGTAATACCAACTAGAAATACATGCATGCAGTAACCCCTCGCCAATATTTTCCAAACATTAAATTAACATAAAGTATTCAGAAATGGCCGACACTGAACGCAGGCTTGCGCTCAAGTGTTGCCATGACAACACGATATCTTAAATTTTTAATTTTTTCATATTTTTGTACAAAACTGCAAAATATAGTTGAAAGATTCGTACTTTTAACTGTACAACAATAAATTTCCGAAATATACACTGTAGGTATATTATTTTGCATTTTGTGAGCTTTGATTTAATGTAAAATTTAACTTGAAACGTTTCGTGAAATTTTTGAAATGTTCATTCAAATAAAGTACATTTGCCGATAAACTGTTTTACACACAAAGCAAATTGTTAGGTAATTTTAGTTCAGTCTTCAAATCAATTTGTTCAAATTAAACGGTAATTTATGTTTTAGAGCTTCGTTGAAAAGGAAAACAGTTCATGTTTTTAGGCAAAAAGTTAGAGCAACAAAATCATAGTCAAAGCAAACTTGCCGTATATTTCACGATTTCCCATAGAAAATCAATTCTTCTCATTTCTTCAAACAAAATTGCTTCAAGCTTGTTGTATATGAAACGATTTTCCAAATATATGTCTTTTAAAATTGAAATCTTGCTTATCCCACTCCCACAAGCAATCAGCCATATTTTTGAGATCAGTGAGGATGACCACCCACTCGTGTTCGTTGGCGCCCGGAAAATTTGATGAACTTTAGACTTCGCTAATGCTTTCGTTTCTCCGGGTGTAAATAGCCGGGGGGAATTAGTAATTTAGTACCCTCGCACGGGGCTTCGCGCCGTCGACTCGGGGAAAATGACAGCACGTCCCATGCAATTTAACATAAGATAAACTTGGTAAAACACAAGTCATATTGAGTATCCCAACAATCAATACAGCAATAACATGCTATTTTCACGAAGTATTGCAGCCGGACACTCTTGTCGTTCGAATTCTTCCATATTTGCTTAGTCAGAGAGATGACGTTTACTCTCCACGATTCTCAAAGGGTCATTAGCGAGTTTACGAAACTACACATTTTGGCGACGGCGCCGTGAGTTGTCCATAACACGCATGCGTCGCAGCATTCTGGCTGCTTCCTTTGACGGCGACGCCACGAAACGGCACGTTAAGAACGCGTCCTGGATTTTTCAAGATGGCGGAGATTGAACAGAAGACATCAAGGTAAGAATTTCGCAGTTTTAGTTGTTTAAAGCTGTTTTGTTTTCCATACGATTAACTTAATAAGATTATAGGATTAAATTCAAATCTTTTAGTAAGTTTATGCTGACAAAGAGCGAGAATACCGATAATTTATATACGAACTACTTGATTTTTAAAGTAAATGAAATATTAGCTCAGTTGTAATATATTTATAAACATTTTATAACCGTTATGGCCGTTTCGAGCGATATGAAACAAACTAAAATGGTAATTTGAGTTAATAGTTGGCTAAAAGTGTTTCGTAATAGTGTGATGTATAAATCAGTAGGAATGGGAATCATGCATTTTGATTTTATAAGTATAGTTTGGAAAGTTTAAATTAAATCATTAAATCATAGCCTGAATAGAAGCCTGCAAAAAGAGAAAGACACGTTTCCTTTTGACCACCTGTTATAGGAAAAACATTAACAGGGGTCCTATTAACATGAGGCTGATGATAGGATGCATACTGATTACTGTTCTTCAAGTTAGAGGCTCCTATTAAAGTTATAGGCTCTTGTTTAACTTAGAGCCACTTCTTAGTGCTTCTTCAAGTTGGGGTCCTTCATGTTACACCGCCTTCCCCAGGTGGCATGGCCCCAATATCTTGTTATGTGTTTTGTGACTATTTTAGTCATTTGTAATACATATGTTCTCATAGCCTTATTTTAACATTTTGTTCATTCATGATTTTAGCAAGAAAGCAATGACCTGGACGGATGAACATAATGAAGTACTAATTCGTGAAATGTTTTTATTTCAACCATGGAACTATAAAAAAGGATCGCAGCAACGGGGCCATGCTTGGGAGATGATCAGTGATTCACTAAATGATCTAAATACTCCAATGTTTGGTGTGACACAAAAATCTGTTCGAGACCACTATACTCTACTCCAGAAACAGCAGAAGAGGAGATTGAGGGAAGAGGAAAAAGCTTCCGGAATCTCTCTTGAGCCATCGGAAGTAGAAATCGCCATAGAGGAGATGATTGAATTGTTTAGGAGTAGGGATGATGATGATAAAGTATTGGAAGAGAAACAAAAAGAAAATTCTGTTGCAGAGGTAGGAAAGGCAGTAGAAATGAGGCAACTGTCAATGGAAACATTGGCTGAAAGCAGAAAAAGAAAGTCTGAAAGTAAAGATGGTGAGAAATCTAAAAGAAGAGTGTCGACTACTGGTAGTGAAACAATTGCCTATTTGCAAAAGAAGTCGGATGTAGATGCCCAACTTAAGAGGGAGGAATTGAGGTTGAGACAAATTGAAGCTGAAGAAAGAAAGCAACAGCAAAATAGTGTTACTTCACAGCAGGAAGCTCTTACTAAAGCCTTGACTGACAGCATTGCTGCACAACAAAGGCAACAAGAACAACTCATGCATCAAATGCAACTTCAAAATACAGCTCTCCTGTCACTGATGCAGAGCATTACTAAGAAGGAGTAAACTATTTTTAACGTTGCATTATGTTTCTTATACTCCAGTTACATGTTCACTTGTTATTGTTATTTTAGATAAAACATTATTTGCAGGGCCTCTTTTAATACCATAGACTGGAGGGAGATTTTTCTCCCTAGCCCTGTTTTGGTCCTTCAGTGAACTATGTTGCCCCCCCCCCCAGTTCACTGGAAGGACCAAAACAGGGCTTCAGGTCCTTTTTGTGTAAACGATAAGCAAAAAGGGGATGAATAATAACTTAGGTAAGAAGAATGTTTTAGTATTCCCATGGCCAAATCTTTGTCTAGTGGATGAAATATATAAAAAATGTTTCTAAAAATGCTGAATATCTAGTCCCAGACACTTAAAATACAAGCATTTTCTTGGAGAGGGCCCCCAGACACCGTTTTCTTGTTCACCACCTAGTTGGACCCATTGTTCTTGATGGCCCCTCCTCTGACAAATCCTTAAAAGAGGCCCTGTGATGTTCATATTCTGAACAGGAATATGATGTTTAATAAACATTAGGGTTAACTCTCCTGTAGATGTATTGTTGAAACATAAACTTATGCAAGTTAAACACTTAACATTTAACATAGTGTGGCTAATTTTCACACAAAGTATTCATTTATGGATGGAGGTTCTAGTTCAAAAAACTGTGAGGTTATTGAGCCATAAAAACAACATCTGGCATTATGAAGTAAAGTGCACAAATATACATTTTCCCAACTGCACTTAGTTGAATTTTTAGGTTTTTTTTAAAGTCAATGAATTTGAAGTAATTCACAATGTCCCCAAAAATCCACTCTACAGATACGCGTACGCTGCTCATCGCTTTGTTCCATTCTTGTTGTTCAGGAGTTATTCTCGCTCCTTTGAATGGGCATTGTAATTGAGGTCGATGAGGATAGGCAGGGTCACCGTAGATACAAACAGGATTTTCATTTGGTAAGGGATCTAGCTGTTGAAGCTTATTGTATAAATCTGACTGGGCAAGCATCGCGCTATCATGGCGTTTACCCTCAACTGGGCCAAAGAGGTTCGCCACAAGACCATTAGGGACAGCCAATGATTGGAACTTTATTGCATGTACTTTCTTGTGGCCATTATAAAGAACCCTTTGATTTTTGCCAGGTTTACAAATAGGACGAACTGTCCCATCAACAAAACCAAAACAATTTTCCAAGGCACCACTCTTCTGAAACACTGCATGACAAAACTCTTCTATATTGTCTGAAGTTAACCAAGGTTGATCAAACGTTGAAAGCAAATGGTTCCATTGAGTGTATAAAAAGCTCATGACAGCATTACTGATCATGCAAAGTTGAGGAACGGGTCTGCCAAATCTTGGCATCATATCCAGGTATCGACAAGGATAAGCAAAGCGTTTCAAAAATATGCACAAAGCCTCCACTCGGTCTACCAAAAGGCCGTTATAGCATTTGATAACTTCTGGTAGCTTCATAGCATCTACTAGAATGTAAATGTGGCCTTTCAAAAAACGAAATTCTGTTATACACTCGTCGTCACTTAATTTGTCCAAGTCAAACTCATCGTATTTCCAATAAGGCAAATCTGGACTTTTGGCTGTATATAAGTCGAAAAGCAAAATAAACTCTTCATCATCGATTAAACTTTCGGAGTGAGCGTATAAAAGATGGTCTCGAACTGTTCTCCACTTTGGCATTTTCGTTTCCGAATTTTATTTTAAAAACAATGATTTTTTACATAGATTCCCGCCAAATTTAAGGGAAGCGACGTCGTCGTGAAAAGAATCGACTACGTAAACTAAAATTATTCTGCGCGGCCGTCGCGAAACAAAGAAGTCGCCGTCGCAAAAAATCATGCGTCGTAAACTCGCTACTATCCTGGGGGAGGGCAAGGAAAATGGGCCCTTTGGCAGTTTTGCCCCACCACTGAAGAATCCTTAAAAAATGCACTGGAAGTAGCCGAATTTTATGTTTATACGAGTGTTTTTACGAATATTTCATTAAGCTTTAAAATATTTGTTTTCGCGTGACGAGATATAGGGGCCTATTAATAGGGGGGAAGTCTTTCCGCAAACCGCGCAATTTTTTTCTCTTGTTCCGTCAACCGCCCGTAATTTTGTTGTATAACCGTGACCGGCATGTTTTCCACACAAAGCAATAAAGACCATTTTCTATACGAAGCATAATTCAAGCACTCAAAAATGCCATGAAGGACGGATAGCTTATGAGCCCTTATGAAAGGGTACTGAATTATATTTCTAACCGTAATCCGGGATTAAACTTGCCTAACAACGGAAAACCGTGTGATAAAGTCGCGAAATTCCGCCACCGCTAGATAGTATCCTCACCGTAAACCGCTACAAAAATCGATACTTTTCCGTAATCCGACTCACAAAATAGGCTGAAACCGCTTAACTGCCATACTATAATAGGCCCCCGATATATAGCCAACATGACAGGTTTTGACTCCCAACTGATTTCTCGCTGATAGCCTGATAGGCTACTATATATAGCAAACAGAAATCAAAATCTTGCATATCTTTTCTCTCGTGGCGATTACGATCCACGGTAGAAAAGGTTTTAGTATATGGCTTTGCAGAATCCTGGATTCTGATTGGTCGACGTGCGGTCCGTAAAATGCGTATCCGGACCGTGGTCCGTATTTTCCCGTATCCGGACCGGTTTCCCGTATGTCAATTTGACAGGCTCGAATTTGAAACGTTTTTACACGTTTATAAGGTCATTATGTGAAGAAAAAGTATCCTTGGATCATTTTTAAGAATAAGATGTCTTGGAAATATTAATAAGTACTTGTACCAACACAAATTTCATCGAAAAAGCTAAGAAAACAAGCCGTTTGAACTCTTACTGGCAACCGTAAGTTTTGGCGGGAAAACTTGTTTCAAAAAATAACTGAAGATGAATTTAACGTCTTTAATACCATATTCTAAACAAATATCATATAAACTGGGTTTATAAGCATTTTTTCTGGGGGTGGGGGTTACCGAAAAAGTAGTTCTAAAGCGATTGTTAAACATGCTTTTCCGCGGCGTAAACAATATTCGGTGACGAAACCAAATCTAAACGAAGAAAACAAGCAAATAAAACATAGCTCAAAAATACCTTTATAGCGCTCAAACAAATATATGAAAATCAGAAAATGTGTTTAAGCAGCCATATAATAAACAGTTTATTAACCTCGTTTTGCTCGGTCTGTACGGGAAAGTATTTGCCTTCGGCTTCGGTTTCTCCGCATTCCGCACAGACCTCGCTCCTTCGTCTCGCTCGGTCTGTACGAAAACCTCATGCAGACAAATACTTTCCCGTACAGACCTCGCTCCCGGTTAATAACCCTTTAATATCTACTTCATCTCTAAATACTGTTTAAGCATTCTTTAGAAATAATACGCCGAATGATACACGAGTCACGAATGTATGCAGAGGTGTTTTGTCGTTTTATGGAAGGCAAAAATGTACCCTAGAATTGTAGGCTGTCATGCTCAAATTAGTTTATATCCAAAATTTCACGTTGTTTGGACAGCTTGGTTGCGAGTTAATATAACGCTTCGAATATTGAGGGTTTTTATAGATTTGACTGGAATTTGCTCCATTTTTGCTAAATATGACAAAATATTGATACACTAAGTTGGATTGGAGATTGTCTATGTCCCAAATCATCATGCAGGTATGAACCGATTAACGAATCAACTGGATAACAAAAGGTGTCTCGATCCCCTTGTACGGTTATCTTAGCACGTTTATAAACTGAATTAGGCCTGTTTAAAACGTCGCGCTTATCACCATCTGCCGAACGCATTAAAAACAATAGATAATCAGCTGAAATGCCTCATTATCTATTGTTTCTAATGCGGGGTTCGGCACATGAGAAGTGCGACGTTTGAAACAGGTAGGCCTGTTTTATACGTCGAAGCGACGTTTGAAACAGCTAGACCTTAGGCCTGTTTTACACGTCGAAGTTTGGTCGCGTCGTAATGCAATTAAGACAATAGATAATGAGATGATAAACCTCATTAAGCTTCATTATGACTTATAAAGCCTGTTCTGAACGTCGTATTTTACATGCGCCGAATGCATTCAAAACAATGGATAATGAGGCATTACATTGTTTTGAATGCATTCAGCACATCTAAAATGCGACGTTTAGAACAGGCCTAAAACAAGCCTTAATATACAATGGTCTATTCCTTTTTGCTTTCTGATAAATTTTGTATTTTAAAAGCTCTATAACTTTTTAAAGCAAGGCAGTGCCACGGAGCACAGTGCATTTTGCGTCACAATGCACGCGCATTAGCCAATCAAATTGTCTGTTAATCCCACTGATATTATAAAGCTCAACAACACGGATAAAGTTTGCCCTAAACATAGCCAACACAACGATCAAATTATTTTAAAAAACATGAGGTTCGTCTTTCGACACAATTCGTGTTTATGGCTTTATTTTATGTCTTTCAAACTTTGTTTCACCATAGGCATAGTCTCCCAAAAAAAGTCTTAAAGAAAATCCATAAAATTGAATCCATAAAGATGGAATGCTTTAACATGCAATGCGTCAATCAGCAGGAAATTTTAAACTTGCAAAAGACTCAGGAAGTTTCAAAGTATATAGTTAATTCATTGGTGGGCTTTGTTTTAAAGGGGGGTAAATATATTTACTTATTTTATAAGTACTCGCCAAGATATTTATATTAGAAAAATTGAATCTAATGTAATGCAAAATCACTTGCCCAGAAAGAGTTAAAAAAATATGAACATTAATTATTAAATATATAAACAAGAATCTGTGGAAAATGTGAAGACTGTGCCAAAACGTGAAGCGCGAATGGAGGAAATGTTTGACCGGCAAATACCGGGTGGCCCAAAAAAAAGTACTCCTGTTTGATTCGTAATAACATCTAAACAAGTATAGCTTTTAAAGAAAACTAACTTGCATCAAATAGAGGAAGGACTAACTTAGACTTTGATATATTACAGTTGTATTTCACTTAAAAATTCACGGAGATATTAATCTTTAAATTCGGGAGGATATTTCTGGATGTGTCTGAAATATGCAAAAATCGGCGTATCAAATATTAATCAAGATTTGCCCGACTGAAACATGCACTATTACCAGTAAATAAATGACACTTGACAAATTGTTTATTATGAAACAAAGTATTATTATATCTACAAAATACAAGCAAGATTCAATCGTCCGAAATTCGCGTGTGTTCCTAGCACGAATACGTTTCCTTATTTCATGAGACCACTGCATCGCGAAGGATCGTCATTGGATCGTTCGTAGTTCTGAATTAGGGCATGCTGTCACAACGGAATTGTGAAGCTCTTCTAACTTCTGCAACGTTCTGAAATCTTGTGAAGAACACCCAAACTCTTTTGCCGTTTCTTAATCTTGGCAAGTTCATGGAGTAAACTGAGAATTATATGAAACACAATCAAACCATACAACTCCATAAGACATAACAATTAAGCAACTCCACAGAGACATGCAACATTTTTGGAACAAAACGTAACAAAATAGTAGCGTTGATACGGTGATGTGTATTTGCAAAAAGCAATATTATTTCCTTCAATAAAGAATATTCATCCTGCTCTAACCGAGAAATAATCTACTCAGTCTGTTTGAAACCATTAAAAACATAAAAAAATTAGGCTATTTAAGAATACGAAAAATTTAAGCGCCTGCCTTCCATGGTCAGTCTTTCATGTACATTTAAGTTTGCAGAGACCTAATATTAAATACTTGCATAATTTCGAACGTTCATATTTCAGGAAACAATGAGCTAAGACTTACATGTAAGATGTCTAAATCTACGCCATATCCCTTACAAACCGTAACGATAATTCGCTGAAATACAAGTTAGCCTAATATGTCATTAAGCAAACAAACGCTGGAGTTAATATTTGATATGCCGATTTTCGCTAATTTTAGACACATTCCAAAATATGCTCCCCATTTTTAACATTAATATCTCCGTGAATTATTAAGTTAAATACAACTGTAATATATCAAAATCTAAGTTAGTACTTCCTCTATTTAATGCAAGTTATTTCTCTTTAAAAACTTTACTTGTTTAGAAGTTATTACGAATCAAACAGGAGTACTTTTTTTTGGGCCACCCGGTAGTTTGTTGTTGTTTATTGTTGTTGTTGTTGTTGTTGTTGTTGTTGTTGTTGTTGTTGTCGTTGTTGTTGTTGTTGTCGTTGTCGTTGTCGTTGTCGTTGTCGTTGTCGTTGTTGTTGTTGTTGTTGTTGTTGTTGTTGTTGTTGTTGTTGTTGTTGTTGTTGTTGTTGTTGTTTGTTGTTGTTGTTGTTGTTGTTGTTGTTGTTGTTTGTTGTTGTTGTTGTTGTTTTTGTTTGTTGTTGTTGTTGTTGTTGTTGTTTTTGTTGTTGTTGTTTTTGTTGTTGTTGTTGTTGTTGTTGTTGTTGTTGTTGTTGTTGTTGTTGTTGTTGTTGTTGTTGTTGTTGTTGTTGTTGTTGTTGTTGTTGTTGTTGTTGTTGTTGTTGTTGTTGTTGTTGCTGTCATGCGTCATACTCGGAAGCTACCAATGACTTCCTGGGAAATGGATTGCCATCAGGGACCCGGAACTGGGGGGCAGGGGGGCAACTGCCCCTCTTGCCTTTTGCTATGGGGGCAAGGGGGGCAGAAGTGCCCTTTTAGTTGTAAAATACTACCTGATAAATCACATTTCCAGTGATGCTTTTTCGGACAAAATCATGAGATTCAGGTAATTTGTAGGCCCAGAGAAAGTTAATTTACAAAAATAAGTGTGAATATGGAAAAGAATGTGGTTAATTTACAAAAATTTTAGAAAATTTTTGGATTTTAGAAAAAAATTTCGGATAAATGGAGAACATTTCTGATGTCCGGAAAAATTTTTTCACGTCACGAAAAATTTTGGTATGTCCGGAAAAAATTTTTGACACCTAAAATGGTACACTGACCGAAATTTTTCGGCGACAGGGGGGGAGGTCGCCCAAAAATAATTTAATGTAAAAAAAAAATTCAGGTAAATTTCGAACTTTTGATCTATAGAGGTGCCCTTTGGTGTGCGTCTGCCCCCCTTTGCCTTTTTATCGTTCGGGCGTCCCTGATTGTCATGTCAGTGATAGGGTTAGTTAATGTGATTGATGATTAAAGTGATTACTCTAATGTCTTTATGCTTATTTACACACATAACATGGTGTCAGGAGTGAACTAAATCGAAACTAGGAATTATCGCAATATAGGCTATACCTTTATTCGCCGCCTGAGCGTTGGTTAGATGATCAGTAACAAACAAAAATCGGCCAAATCGTGCGAACATTTCGACCGCCATTTTAAATTTTGAAAAATTGGTTTTTCAAATTGTATCAAATTTGGATTTTCAACTCAACAAAAGAGCAATGCCAAAGAACACGAAACCAATATTGGACGTTCAAGCGATTCGGGCCAATGGAGATAATTTCAGACACTGGGAAACTTGGTTTGATGATTACTGTTTGCTCGAAGGATACATGCAGAGATCCGCAAAAGACAGAACTACTCAAACGAATGAGCATTACATCGCAGCTAAATGGCCTTTCGAAATAGCTGTATTTTGGACGGCAATACCAAGCTCAAAATAGAACGCGCTTGACGATGTAATTGCTCCAAAAATATCAGCAAATGATCATGATCAACAACAACCTTGGGTTGAAGAAAATCAATGAACAAGAAAATCAAGAAAATCAAGAAAATCAATGAAAATGATACAGGGGCAAGCATTTTAAATAAGAAAATCAATGAACATTATGCAGGGGCAAGCATTTTAAATTTGATGCAAGGCCGTTACCACTTCTGGGTGAAAATGACACAACCGCCAACAACTCAAGTAGCAATGTGGGAAACTATGGTTCGGTGTACGGAAGCAGGCCGCTGTTCCTTTGAACTAGCTCAAGCTGATGAATTCATGCGTGACAAATTTCCGTTCAGCCTTAATGAATCATTCAGCCATTTTCGCGAGGACATTTTCTATCAGGATGGTCAAAGAAAGTCAGAGGAAGCTTTATTTTATGCCGAGGCGGCACAGAATAACACAAGTAAAATGCTCCAACATTCGACAACTGAAGAGCAAGTCCACTACACTTCAACGTCCATGGATTTACCCAAGTTATCAGCAAGGCCGACCAAGCCGAATATGAATTAAAAGTCCTGTTGGTACTGTGGCAAAGTCACCCTCGTAACTTATGTCCTGCATACGGGAAAACGTGTAGCTACTGCCGCAAAACTGGCCACTTTGCCAAAGTCTGCATGCAGGCGTGAGTGAGGCGTCCAAAGATAGGAAGGACAAACAGGACCAACTAAGATTGCTGAACCAAGACCCACCTCGCCCTCCTTCGGAAGAAGCAGTTCAGCATGAGCAGTGTTTTGTCAATTCAAACCAAGAGCAACCTGAACAGACCTCAACCACGCATCATCCGAAACCAAGTGGAAACAGTTACTTTGTACTGCCGACTCTATCAAAACCACAATCGGGCAAGCCTGTTGATTCCATTAAAGTCCCGTTTCAAATTGATTCGGCTGCATCTTGCAATACCCTTCCTGTGAAGCACCTTATCGACATCCCATGGGCAAATTTCGAGCCATCTAATGTAGTTTTGCAACCTTATGCGAAGCCATTTATTCATCCAATTGGTCAAATCAAGCTCAAAGCTACCAGATCATCCTATGTGAAATTTCCTCACCTTCCAAATCATAAACACTGCCCAATCAGTACTCTTAAGTGTTGATGCAAGTAAGAAGTTAGAGGTACTATCCTTTGATGCCGATTTTGTTCGCACATGTACTTTGAGGGCTGCAAATAAACCTTGACCAAGCAAGATATCACCGCCTTAGTGATTGGACCACCACCATCTCTACCCGATACAACCAAATGAGTCTAGCCACCTTATGGGGCTTTAACCATGCATGGCCTTCATTACTCAACAATATAATGTCCCTCTTTGTCTAAATTAAAGGAGTAAGACACCTAGGCCAACCAGTTTACTTTGATCTTGATCCAAGCGTCAAACCTACCCATGCTCCTGTCCATCGGCAGCCAGTTTCCAAGCTTGATAAAATCAAGATAGCACTACATCCTTGGGTGCTATCACCTACCTGGGCAAATTCTGTCCCAAGCCGAACAGCGTCACACAACCATTCCGAGCCCTTACCAAGGACGATGTGCCATTTGTGTGGCCTAACCAACACCAGAAAGCGTTTGATGAAGCCTAACTGTGATGAAGCCAAGTCACTATAGCAACGTCAGCACCTTGCCTCAAGTACTATGATGTGAACGCAGCAGTCGTACTCCAAATGGACGCTAGCGCTTCGGACTACGGCCTTGGGGAAGCCCTTCTTCAGCCTTCTCGGCAAGGGAATGACTGCACTTTTGACGAAACGTCCGTCCAACCGGTGGCTCAGTTATAGCTCTAAAAGCCTGACCGCGACTGAACAGCGTTATGCTCAAATAGAAAAAGAATGCCTCGCTAGTTGTTGAAGCCTTTAAAAAGTTTGATCAGTGACTTTTGGGAAAAGCTAACGTCACAGTGCACACTGACCACCATCTCAACAGTCTATCTTCCAGAACGATATTGCCTCAGCTCTGAAACGTCTTCAGAAAATGACGCTCTTCTTCCAGTGTCATAGCTTCGCCGTCTTTTACCGAAAGGGCACCCCCCTCTACTTGGCAGATACCCTCTCTAGAGCCCCGTGTGGACATGTTCCGAGTTTTCCGCGCGCATATCAGTCAGGTTGATCCAGTTTCTACTTCGGTAAGAGACATGACTCGCGAGAAATTACACAGACCAACTGCTGCGTGTTCAGACATGCAGACTCTGGAACATCACATTATCCATGGTTGGCCTCCAACAAAGCAGCCGTTACCTAAACAATTACTTCGATCTCTTTGGAATTTAGAGATGAACTAACCATCGCTGATGGTCCCATACTCAAGTCCACCTGCATCGTCGTTCCAGTGTCGTTGAGAGCCGAGACATTAGTTAAGAATCGCCTTGGAGGTCCAGAGTGTTCCCTTCGTTATGCGCGGGAGTCTGTTTTTGTCCCGCCGGAATGGCAAAAGACATATAATACACCTGCTCTGCATGCATCACTTGTGACAAGTATGGAAAGCAAGGCACCGCAGAGCCCATGTTATCCTTCATTCGGTACCAACGTGTCCCTGGCAATGTGTATCACAAGATCTATTTGAGCTCAACTGGAGCTATTATCTTTTCACGGTGGACCACTATGGTGACTTTTACGAGTTAGACCAACTCAAAGACTCCCCATCTACAACAGTCCAGTCCGGCACACGAAAGCTCATTTTGCACGACATGGTATCCATCCGCGCTGTCTTCCAGACAACGGTCCACAATTTATGTCAAGAGAATACCAGATCTTCACACGTAGTCGTATGGGTTTGAGCACACAACTTCTTTCCCTTATTGGTCGCAAAGTAATGGAAAAGCGGAAGCTGATATTAATGACACTAAATCGGTTCTAAAGTAATCACCAGATTACCACCTTTTATTTATCATGAATTATCGTAAAAATAAGGTACCCTAAGATACGCTAAGGTACCCTAAGGTAGGCTAAGGTACCCTAAGGAAGGCCAAGGTATTATAAGGTACTGCAAGATAAGTTAAAACACGCTAAGGTACTCTAAGGTAGGCCAAGGTACCCTAAGGTCTAAGGTAGGCCAAGGTACCCTACGGTAGGCCAAGGTACCCTAAGGTAGACCAAGGTAGGCTAAGGTACGGTAAGGTACCCTAAGGTAGAGTAAGGTACTCTGAGGCACCCTAAGGTAGGCTAAGGTACCCTAAGGTAGGTCAAGGTACCCTAAGGTAGCCTAAGGTACCATAAAGTAGGCTAAGGTACCATAGGCTAAGGTAGGCCAAGGTACCCTAAGGTAGGCCAAGGTACCCTAAGGTAGGCCAAGGTACCCTAGGGTAGACTAAGGTAGGCTAAGGTTTACTAAGGTAGGCCAAGGTACCGTAAGGTAGAGTAAGGTACTCTGAGGCACCCTAAGGTAGGCTAAGGTACCCTAAGGTAGGTCAAGGTACCCTAAGGTAGCCTAAGGTACCATAAAGTAGGCTAAGGTACCATAGGCTAAGGTAGGCCAAGGTACCCTAAGGTAGGCCAAGGTACCCTAAGGTAGGCCAAGGTACCCTAGGGTAGACTAAGGTAGGCTAAGGTTTACTAAGGTAGGCCAAGGTACCGTAAGGTAGAGTAAGGTACTCTGAGGCACCCTAAGGTAGGCTAAGGTACCCTAAGGTAGGTCAAGGTACCCTAAGGTAGCCTAAGGTACCATAAAGTAGGCTAAGGTACCATAGGCTAAGGTAGGCCAAGGTACCCTAAGGTAGGCCAAGGTACCCTAAGGTAGGCCAAGGTACCCTAGGGTAGACTAAGGTAGGCTAAGGTTTACTAAGGTAGGCCAAGGTACCGTAAGGTAGAGTAAGGTACTCTGAGGCACCCTAAGGTAGGCTAAGGTACCCTAAGGTAGGTCAAGGTACCCTAAGGTAGCCTAAGGTACCATAAAGTAGGCTAAGGTACCATAGGCTAAGGTAGGCCAAGGTACCCTAAGGTAGGCCAAGGTACCCTAAGGTAGGCCAAGGTACCCTAGGGTAGACTAAGGTAGGCTAAGGTTTACTAAGGTAGGCCAAGGTACCGTAAGGTAGAGTAAGGTACTCTGAGGCACGCTAAGATAGGCTAAGGTACCCTAAGGTAGGCTAAGGTACCCTAAGGTAGTCCAAGGTACCTAAGGTACTCCAAGGTACACTAAGGTAGGCTAAGTTACCCTAAGGTAGGCCAATGTACCCTAAGGTAGGCCAAATTACCCTAAGATAGGCCAAGGTACCCTAAGGTACTCCAAGGTACTGTGATATATTGACATTTATAGTACATTGAAATAGATACTCGTAAATAGCAAGTCTGTTTGCAGGCTATTAGGCATGGACCTTCGGGCTTTTTAATTAACTTGAAGACTAAGACTATTGTTGTACATGTGTTCGGAGTAATACAATATATAAATTTACAGTGGTGGCAGCGGTGATTCTCGCTTTAAATTGTCGGAAATGGCAGAAATAAAACAAGCCTGTTATGACGGTACGGGAGATGTAGATTTGTGGCTTATGAAAATGAAGTTCTATTGTTCTACAAAGAAATTTGAAGATAAACAAGAAGCTCACGCCATAGCGAGTAAACTCGAGGGGGCGGCGTTTCTATGTATTGCGAGATTAGACGATGAACTTCAAGATGACCCAAAAGAAGTTAAAGCCGCTTTAAGGAAGGAATTCGACAAAGAATCGATCGACCATGAGAAAGCTGTCGACGAATTACGAGGTTTAAGGCGAAAAGGCGGTGAAACACCAGCACAGTTAGCGTGGAGAATCGAAAAGTTGATGGCGAAGGCTTATCCGGAGTTATGCGCGTCAACACACGGATCGGCAAAGAAAACAAAGGAACAAATGTTACATGATACCTTTTTGGGAGCTATTGACAATGCAATGAGTCGAAAGATAAAGAGCGACAGTAAACATCGAGATTTAAATTTAACACAACTTTCTGAAGAATTAGATCGGCTCGAGCTAATTTATAAAACAACAGCGCCAAAAGTAAACCTCGAAGTAAACAATTTCAAAACGACAGGGGAAGCAGACGAAATATCGTTAAGAAGATAATCAGAGAAGAGGTAGCAGCCGCCCTATCCAAAGAAAACGATGGAAGTTGGGAAACGGAGGACGAAACAAAACGTACGGTCGGGTTCGTTGGAAAGAGAAATTTCCCGCCAAAACCTAGGAGTGGAAAAACCGGTAAAAATCAAGCGTGTTTCCACTGCCAGTCGCCTGAACATTTTCGGAAAGACTGTCCATTTAAAGATCTTTGTCAACGCTGCTGGCAAAAGGGCCATACAGCACCATCTTGCCATGCTCCAAGCCCTCGCCCTTCGCCGTCTTTAAACTCCAAGGCGGCTGGGAACAATCGTCAGCAAAAATAAATTCGTTCTCAGCCGCGAAGAAATTTATTACACTAACTGGTACAGTGGTTCAGTCTGGAAGCAGAGAGTTCAAGCATGAGTTTATTTGTGATTCTGGAGCAGAGGTTTCAGTTATTCCAACGGCGTTAGCACAAGAACATTACATGAAAATTCAACCAACTACACGTCACGTAAAGATGGCTAATGGGACACACGCAGAATGCAGAGGTGTGGTTCAAACATCAGTTACGGTAGGGACAAATAGTTGTATATTGAGTTTTTTTGTGGTAAGTGGTGTTCAAAACGGGATTCTGGGCTTGGACTCTTTGGGAAAATTGGGTGTATCGTTGAACACAAGAAAAAAATTGGCAACAATAGATGGGGCCCAACCCGTGTTACAACCGGAAGTAGATACCCCTCAGGAAATACTAAAGTGTTGCCACATACGAGTTGCGGAAAGTCGTGATATTAAGCCATTTGAAGAAATATTCATTTGGGGTAAATTGGAAAATAAGAATGAAAAATTTACTAGAGATTCGTATATCGAAGGTACGGAACATTTTCAGCAGAGAACTTGGCTTCTTACAGCCCCGATAAAGATTTCGGCAGAAATGATGAACGATGAAAATAAAATCCCCATATGCGTACTGAATACTACTGATAAATCAATCAGAGTTTATACAGAACAAACTGCGGCCACAATTCAGGAACTGCCAAGTACCCACAACATAGCACATATTTCAGAGTCAAATATGGGGGGAAATAATCCATCATCACAATATGACCCAGTCCCAGAAGTATCAGTTGGTGAACAATTGACAACACAACAAAGAGAAAACCTAGAAGTTTTAATTCGAAAAAATACACAAGTTTTCGACTACCCAGGAAACAGTGGGTTCACCACAACAATAGAGCACACAATACCCACAGCCGTATCTGATCCAATTGTGTGCCACCCCAGACGACACAACCTGGGGTTAACACAAAAAATTAATGAAGCAGTAGGAAACCATGTAAAGTCGGGACATTTGACACCCTCTAAGTCCCCTTGGGCATTTCCAATTGTACCTGTATTGAAACCAGATAAAACAGTTCGATTGTGTGTAGACTACAGACCACTTAACAAAATTACCCAGAATGACCCATATCCAACTGGAAATTTGCAAGAGGTTCTAGACAATCTATCAGGTGCTAACTATTTTAGTGTTATTGACTTGGCCCAAGGTTATTTGCAGGTCCCACTGGCCAAGGAAGATCGACCAAAGACAGCATTTCGATCACCTACTGGGTTTTGGGAATGGACAAGAATGCCATATGGTTTAAAAGGAAGTCCGGAAACTTTTTCTCGGTTGATGCAGAAGGTTCTAGGACACATTCCACCACATCGGTTGGCATTGTACATGGATGATATCTGTATTATTAGCAAAACGTTTGAGGAACATTTAGTAAATCTCCAGGGAGTATTTGATGCATTGCGACAGCATGGATTACGAGTTAAAGCTAAGAAATGTGCTTTCGCAATGAAAGAAGTGAAATTTCTTGGACACAAAGTTTGCAACAAGGGTGTGCAGCCAGAGGAACATAAAGTAAAGGCAATTCGTGCATGGGTTGCACCAACTTGTCTTAAAGAGGTGCAAATGTTTTTGGGTGCAGTTGGGTGGTATCGGAAGTTTATCAAGGATTTTAGTACAATTGCTCGACCATTAACATGGCTTTTGGAGAAAGATGTCACATTCACTTGGGGTAAGGAGCAAGATGATGCATTCAATACACTAAGACATGAGTTGGTTAAAGCTCCAGTATTAGCCCATCCTGACCCCACTCGACCCTTTGTTGTTACCACGGATGCAAGTAAAGTGGGTCTGGGTGGTGAACTATCACAAGAAGATGCACAAGGACAATTACATCCGGTTGCATATTTCAGTCGTGCATTGACCAAACGAGAACGTTCATATCCAACTTATGACAGAGAAGTGATGGTGTGACAGATTACGCAACATTACTTTAAATTTATTTGTTATCGTAATACTTCATGTAATAATATTAGAAATATATAAAGTTTCAAACATGGCGCCCAACGTCACGGCAACGTGCCCTTTAGTTTATCGAAAAAGTTATGTTTTAGCGCTATGACCGATCAATTAGAAAGGAAAAAGGCTACCCGTCGTGGGAACAGAGCAGTTATAACGAAATACAGTAACGAAGCGAAGGAATTATTGGCAAATGGAGAAAATATCGACGAAAATACGAAGGATCGTTTAAACACGTTGCACGATCTTCTTGAGGAAAAATTACAAGTGGTAAAGAAATTCGACGAAGAAATCTTACAGTTATGCGAAGTTAAAGAAATAGAAAACGAGATTGAAGTATCCGAGGAATTAAATTCACGAGTTCTTGATGTTAAAAAACAAATATCCAAGTTTTTTGCGAAGAAAATCGACGATACGGGAAAAGTACCTATTCACGATATATCTATACCTGGTCAAAATACCCCGCAAGTAGAAATAACAGAGGTAGGTGAAATTTCCTCTGAAGTTAATGTCAATAATGAAACAATAAACGAACAGGACAATGTTAATTCAACCCAAGATCCTACACCAAGTAACCCAACCTTAATTCACCCAGA